TTATAATATGGAATTAACAATCAAATATTTCTATTGTTGTTCCTGATGCAGCATGCCCTTCTCAATTGAGGACATGACAAGTACTGTACCAGAGAAGATCTTCAGGGATGTACCACCAGTATCTGAGCTTCTCGAGAACCCAGCCTTCCAATTTTTACAGGAATGAGGCAGTTTGAACCTCGAGTACTCTCTAATTTGTTTCATTCATTGCCACGGCGATTGCCTCTGGAGCAGCAAAAATGGTTGCTTCTTCTCAAATGTTGTAAATCCATTCATTTCCCCCATAATGTTATGTAAAGTTCATTTTTCCACATTAGTATTCATAGGACTTTTAGAGGCCAGTGTCAGTGAGGCCGGGTTGAATTTTTGCCCCCCTGTAGCATAGCTTTTTCATTCCGGTTCCGAGGTGGGGAAAGCTCCAAAAATCCCTCTTGGCATTGTAAAGTAATCGGTTATTGTATAAATAAATAAATAAGAATCACGAGCAGGTATTCAAATAGAATGAGAATGCCTGACCTTGTTACTGTTATAGTAGTTGTATATTTGAGCCAAAAATACCTGACCCTGTTAATGTTATAGTAGTTGTATATTTGAGCCAAACACTAACTTCCTTTGCGTGCTCCAAATGTAACATAAGTACTGAAGTATTATTGTAAGGCATCAGCGAATTATCCACAGAACATCCAACAGGTGCGCAGAAACAAGATTTTCGACAATATCAAAGTCTCCTTCGCTATGTTGTAGTTAAGCTTTGATGTTTTCTTTGGTGAGCATTTCGCTGAGAACAAGTCAAACGAGAATTATCTCCTCTATGTTATCTCCACATGTACACATTTTTTTATTATTATATTTCACAGTGAATGCCGCCCTTAGCCAGCACTATTACCCGCTAGAGATGGGCTATAAATAGATGTATGGGGCTGTATTGTAGCCAACATCTCAATCTCCAAGTCATTAGATTAGTAATCAAGAGGAGAACTTGAGGATTTTTTTTTTTTGCCAAATGGCTTGCAAGCAAACGGGAGTTTTTCTCATGATGGTTGTGGCCATTGGGCTTGTTTCTCTGGCTTCAGCAACGGAATTTGTGGTCGGAGATGATAAGGGATGGAACCTTGGAGAGAACTACACTGCTTGGGCTATGGGCAAGGAGTTTAAAGTTGGAGACACACTTGGTATAAAATATTCTCTCTCTTTTCTCTAAATTATATGCACAAGCTATGGCATTAATCTTAGGACATAAGAAAGAATTTAAATTAATAATAGGGTTAGCTGCATGTAGAGCTGTTTTGAACTTACTGCCCTTTTAGTTTCACTGTTGCAGATTGACCCTGATTTTTTTTCATTTACGTTATTATTTAGCGTGAAGTTTTGGTACGTACCGTGACAAGTTGAAATTAGTGAGTCTATCTTAGGGGTCTGCAACAATGGAACTACAAGAGCAGTAACTTCAAACAACGATACTACGTACAGAGAGACTATGTGCAATTATAACCCTTGAGACTATGAGATATATCTTATGTTTCCAATTAACCCCATTACAATAACTCTTATATATGCCGAAACATATTACAGTGTTAACTTAAACGATTTTAATCATGCAGTTTTTAACTATAAAATCCCAAATCACAACGTCATCAAAGTCGATGGCGCGAATTTCAAAGCGTGCACGTCTCCGGAGAACAGCGAGCCTCTTGCAACAGGCAGCGATACCATCACCCTCTCAACTCCCGGCAAAAAATGGTACATTTGCGGAAAGAGCGATCACTGTGAACGAGGAATGAAGTTGGTCATCAATGTTGCTTCCGATGTTGAGGCTCCAAATTCACCCCCTCAACCTGACAGTTCATCGAACAAAATCGAAGTATTTCAGTATTTGAGTCTGATGGCAGCAGCGATGACTGTGGCTATAGCATTCGTGATTTAAACGAGTTTATATCACCTTCTATCGAATAATTTATGGCGTGTTTGACGAGTTTATGTACTTGGTTTAGTATGTTATGGGTTAATTTTATTTTGAAATAATTTTGAATGCAATTGAATTGAAGCAATGTTATGTGGCGTTCGTCTTTTTCTTGTTAATTTGCAATTTCATTCTTATGGTTATGGCAATGGCGATGATGGTGGAAGTAGAAATCAGAGATGAATTTTGATCTTTATTGAAGAATTAGGACGTCAACGTAGTTGTAAAAGCTATATGTTGATACAAATATTGTGTTTGATATCTTCTACACTTGGTTTAGAAATATTATGTCCTTATTTTTGTGATGAGGTAATTTAGTAGTGCAATTGAACTCAAACAACATTGGTCATAATCTGCCATATATGTTATACTAGAATTTCTGCACATGCATTTACATTTAGCATTTCTGGACGTGCATAATGCACGTGCTAAACAAATAAATTATAAAAAGTATTTCGTATATGAGTATTTTTGCTGGATCTCTACTATGAAAACTTCAAAAGCTATTCATTTTAGGGGTTAATTTGAGAAAGAAATGAGATTTCTATTTCCTTATAGATTAGGATAGATAACTCTATATGTCTACCACTCATACATATTTTCTCATACCCTCACTATTTCCATTATTGATTAGTACAGAAAAGCGCCGGAGTTCACCGGAGCTCGTTGGATATCAAATTTAGGGCATCGACAAATTTTTGATAAAAATTTTTAAACTTTTTTATTTTTCTCCTAATTTTTACATATTCTCACTATTTCATGCTAATAACTTGTTTAATTTTAGATTTTAAAATAATTTTTAAAATATTTATGAATTTTGTGAAGAAAAAATAAAGAAATTTGCATATGAAGTTAGAGGAGAAATTAGGGAAAATTGTAAAAGTTAGTGTATTATTTTTCAAATTTTAAAAGTGAATATTGTTTAAATTATTTAAATTAGGCAATATTAAAAATATAAAGGTTTGACATTTGGTAAAAATTATGGATGTGTAAAATCGATATTAGAGGATTTAATTGTAAATTATATTTTTTGTATTTTTTGTGTAATATTGATATTGAAAAATTTTTACTCTTCAGATGTAACGATGAACGATCGAATCGTAATTCTTTGTTCATATGATGAGAAGATTAACTATCTCGAGAATAATATGCATGTATACAAAGGAGGTGTGACGAAGCCACTATTTATATCAAAATCATATACTTTCGATGGATTGGTTAATGACTTACTCAAACTTACATTAACCAATCCACGTGAGGATCACCTCAACGTGATTTGCAATTATTCTGTTACGGAGAACAGAACAAGCGGCATTCAAATCTCAAATGACTATGATATAAGTCGCATTGGAATATTGTATGATGAGAAGCGTTTGGTGAAATTATTTATTGAAAAACATCATAGAAATTTGGGCAAATTGGTGAATCACAATGGAGTATACTCTCGCATGTTGAAGGACTTTGAAGTTGACTCCACCGGCTTTTTGTCTCCGCAACAAGATATGGATGGACACAATCATAATACTTGAGCGGTCCTTCGTTTGTGGGTACTTCAAATGCCTTTGATGATAACGCTCCCCATCAAGATATAATGTCTTCCACAGAAGTGACGATAAAAGATGATAATGCAAGTGTTAAATACGATGATGATGACAAAGAGGATGACTTATAAATTATAGCATTATGTGTTTGATAGATCGTGATGAAGGGAACAACCAATATATTAACAGGTGTTATTCTAACAATGAGTATGTCGTATTAGAGGATCCGCCGCCCGATGAACTTTATGGAGAAGAATGGATTGATGGCTTCACAATAGAAAGTATTCCTATTTGCACTAATTTAAATGATGATAAATAAGGTGAGGACTTCTCATTCAGAAAGGACGGTCTATTTGAAAGCAAGGAAAAATTGATACATGCGCTTCGTTTGTGGGCCATCAAAAAATGTTAAGTTTAGGCAAACAAAAAGCAAGGTAACAAGCTATAATGTAGTTTGTTTTTACCGCAAAGATGGTGAGGAAGAATATACTGGTGGGCACTATAACAGAAATGCAAAATATCATTGGAAGCTTAATTCACGTTTAGGGGTAAGAGTAGGCGGGCAATTTAAAATAACACGCTACAACGGACTTCACACATGTAGTAATCCTAAATTAGAGATGAATCATAAACACGCATCCACCTCTTTCATATATCGATTGGTTATGACTAAACTAATGAAGGATTTTGATCTAAGGCCAAAGGATATTCGTATTTTAGCGCATAAAGCGACCAACTTGGATGTATCATACAACAAGTGTTAGAATGCTCGGAGGAAGGCAATGATAAAAATATTCAGAGATTGGGACAAATCTTATGAGATCTTACCACATTATCTTGAAGCACTCAAAAAAATACGAGAACAATGTACGAAGTATCATTGGATCCTGTTGACGACGGAGATAGACGATTCATAGGGGTATTTTGGGCATTTGGGCCTTACATTGAAGAATTCAGATATTATTGTCCTATTCTTAGTATTGACGACACTAACTTATTTGGTAAATATAAAGGTATTTTGCTTGTTGCAACCGGTGTAGATGCAAATGAAGGTTTATTTTCTTTGGTCTCCGCAGTGGTTGATGTTGAAAACACGAAAAATTAGTCATGGTTTTTTTGCATGTATTAGATATCATACCCTTAGTGTGCGAACACGGTCGATTACATTCATATCTGATAGGATGAAAGGAATTCCAATAGCACTTCAATGATATTTTTCGTCACCGCATCACCATCGCTATTGCTTGTGACATATTGGGGACAACTTCGAGAGGAAGTATGGACAAGTGCATCTTCAAGATCTTCTTTGGCAAGCTAGATGTGCAATGGAAAATTTAATTTATGAGAGACTACGGGAGAAGATTATGTCCATTTCACAAGCTGCACATGATTGGATCGAGACTAGTTTGGGTCCGAACAATATCGATAGGTGGGCCTTATGTGAAGATGGCGGGAAACAATTTTGTATGATGACCACTAACGCTTCTGAGAGTTTCAATGGTGTGCTTAGGGGAGCATGCAGTATGCCACTACAGTCATTTGTTACAAAAATATTTTACAAACTTAATAAATTCTTCTTCAGACAACACACACTTTGGGCAAATATCCCGTCGGAGTTGATGCCAAAAGTTAAAGGTATATTAGCGGATCGGATTGTGCAGGCTTGATCATTTCGTGTCGTTAGATACAATTATAATATATGGGAGGTCATTGAGGGAATATCACATAGATAAAATCGCTCTTACAAAGTTAATATGCTAGTGGATCAAACTTGTGCATGCACTTGTAATATACCACATTACAATGACTTCCTTATTACCATGTTGTAGCAGCTTGTTTGGATCTACAAGGAGGTGCGAGGATATCACATTATACATTCGCCACAAATTAGTATTCAACTTATAACTACCAACAAACATACAAATAGTGTTTTCGTCCACCATATAATAATCAACATTGGACACAAGGCAGGCCACGAATATTACCTCTTGTGTATAAAAGATCAGCTAGACGACCTCGCTCTGTACGAATTAGAAATAATATGGATGATGGTCGAGAAAGAATTAGGAGGAAAAATAAGTATAGTAGGTGGGATCAACCGGGCCACAACAATAGCAGTTGTCCAACTAGGCTTATTTGGGGTTTAATTGTATGGAATATATCGCTTATGGTTTTTGTAATATATAACCTTTTATTTTTAATCTTGAATATGTGACAATCGTTTTACATGTTCTATTCTTATTTTTCTTTTTATGCTAGATGTATTCTTTACTTAATATTGAATATTGAATACATATGATTAAGTCATTCAACTAAAAAATTTAATGTATTGTATTTTAATTACAGAGATATCCATTATGGATCCGGGACCGATGCAGCCCGACATATCATACCTTCAGATATATCATTTTTCACACAAGATTGGCTTGAGATAGGTAAAAAATGTTGTATATATTTCTTATTTTTGGCGTTAGTTTCAATTTTTGTATTCTAAAAGATTTTTTCAATTTTGATTAATGTGCAACCCGTAATAGAAATCAGCATAGCGGACCATTCCCAGAGTCACTCGGGCTGGGAGATGGAGGATAATCGAGTACTACAGTTGGTAGCTCAGGTCGGATTTTGGGAGTGTTCATCAATGAGATATATTAGGCTTGACTGGACCATTATCAGTGCCTTGATTAAGAGGCGGAGACCGGAGACCAACACCTTTCATATGTATATAAAGGAGTGTACCATTACACTTTAGGAAGTAGTCATCATATTTGGGCTCCGCATCGATGGCCCGGTTGTTACGGGTACAGATGACCAAAATTTGGTCGAAGTATGTGAGAGGCTTCTTGGGTAGGTTTTCGATTTGAGGAGTGGTGCGATGAAGTTATCGTGGCTTCGATCGACATTTATAGGAGATATACCGATTGACACCATGGATGAGACGACTCAATATTATGCTCGTGATTAGATATTGCACATGATAGGGTGTATGTTATTTCCTGATGGGATCAATGTTGTGCGCAGCAGAAATTTCGGCAGAGTTTCTGGTGCACAATAAGAGAGAAAGATCGATAAGAATTCTTGTTTCTCAAAGGGAACAAGAATCTGAAGCCTAATATCCCATCAAAATGGGATATTTGCTCTTCCTCTCGTCAGCTCTAGGACTGCGCGTCGAGGGATCCTAAAACTATTACAATGGCCATAAACTCAAACAACCAATTTTACGTGGTTCGGCAAACTGCCTACGTCCACGGGGCAAGGAGGGGGGATCTACTATTAAAGAGAAAAAGAATACAATGGGTTTACAACTCTCACAATCTAAACCCTCAAATAGGTTCCTTGCTTTTCTTCTCAAGAAAATGTCAACCTCCAAAACACTTTTTCTCTCCTCACTAATTCTGCCTTGCATGCACACCAAAACAGAGTTCT